GGTCGGTGCATTTGATAGCCTCCTGGGGCTTGTTACAATCAGAGTTCTGGACAAACAAAACAAAAGCCAGGTGTGGTGACACACACATTTAGGCCCAGAAGCTGCTGGATCTCAAGTTCGAGGCCAGCTTGGTCTACAGAGGGCGTTCCAGGACAGCAAGGACTATACAGAGAAACACTGTCTCAAAAGAATAAAAGATAGTTAATTAACAAGGGTGCTGACTGATAGATTCAGAAAGGAAAATTCCTATAACTCAGTGAAATGTGCCACTGTTTCCTTAAAAGCCCTGTTTTTAGATTAGTCATTAAGTGAATACTTATTTGGGGGTCCTGAGCTGGGTGTGAGTGTTGTGGTGTGCAAAGGTGGCGCAGAGCTCTGGCCTGGCCTGCTGGGACTCTTCCTTGTACTTGACATCAAGTGGGACATAAAGCGCGTTCTTCCAGAGATGCTAACCCACGCAGTGGAGGGCGACTTCCTCCTAACGTAGAGGAGTGGCCTTGTGTGTAGTTCCCGAGTTCATCTCCCTAACCACATGTGATACACTGCTTACCTCTGAATGGAGGTAACTTCATTCAGAGTTACCTCCATTCAGAGTTAGTGCTTAACTTTCTCTTCCACAGTTTTTTTTTTTTAAAGATTTGCATATTTATGTATTCACCATTGCTCTCTTCAGACACACCAGAAGAGGGCATCAGACCCCATTACAGATGGTTGTAGCCACCATGTAGTTGCTGGGAATTGAACTCAGGACCTCTGGAAGAGCAGTCAGTGCTCCTAACCACTGAGCCATCTCTCCAGCCCCCTCTTTCACAATTTTTAAAAAAAGTTTTTGTTGTATGCTTGTGTATGTTTTGCCTGTGTGTATGTCTGTACATACATGACTGGTGCCTGAGGAGGTCAGAAGAGCAGCATATCCTCTGGAACTAGTTATAGCTGGTTGTGAGCCACATGTGGCTGCTGGGAACTAAACCCAGGTCCTCTACAAGAGCAACAAGTGCTAACACCTAACAGCCAAGCCATCTGTCCAGCCCCTTGGTTTTCTTCAGAGACAAGGTCTCATGTTGCTAAGGCTGGCCTTGAAATACCAGTCCTCTTGCCTCTCTGCCTCTTGAGTTGAGTGGTAATCACATTTCCCCCAAATTGCCCGTGCTGCTGAGCCCACTCTTAATTCTTAGTTTGTGTGGGTTTGAGAATCGTACCTAGTGATTTGTGAGTACAAGGTAAGTAGCACTCTGTCGCTGACTTCTATCACCAAGCTCCTGAGTACTTAAATCCCCTGTTGTTGCTGTTTCATTTATTTGCTTGAGAACAGGTCTCACTAGGTAGCTGTCAACCTCCGACTCACTGTGAAGCCCTGGCTGGTGTCAAACGGGCAGTGATCCTCTTTGCTTGCCAAATAGCACTACACCTGGCCTTTGAATGCTTCTCCTGTCCTAGCAGTTTCAGGTCAGCCAGTGCCGTCTCCGTAGATGGGGAGACCCAGTGCCCCGCGCAGCAGAGTTGTTAGGAGTGGTGAGTACTGAGGTGTGCTCAAGTCCTGCACTGTTGTAAAGGGAAAAGCAGTAAGATCAGGAACGCCATTCCAGTAGTCGGGCTGAGCCTACCCTGGGCTAGGGTCTGCCTTGCAGTGTGTCCTTCCCCTGGGTTAGAACCGAGCGAGTGGTGTGGAGCAGGAAGGAAGGCTGTATGGGGGGAAATCTGAGTACCCAGCCTGATAGCAGTGATGTTCTGTGGTCAATGGTTAACGTGCCTTGCTGCTTTAGAAAAGTCTCTGCTTGCCTCCTTGGGACTTAATAACATTCACTCTCCTGGAAACCCTTGCCCAGCGTGATTGACTGGTCATAACCTGGTTTTCTCCAGCCAGATGACCAGTCTTTTCTAGTAGTAATGCTGTTACAACACTGCCATTCAGATCCATGACCCCGTCATTGTCTGGGGGAGGAGTGCAGAGCTATCAGACACCAGCTACTATAATTAGAAAAGGGAACGCAGACACTTACCAAGCTAGCGTCTTAGGCTGTGGCGTTTACAGCACTTTTTAAAAAGTTATACAGCCTCTTCCTCAGTTTTGCTTCCTGAAATACAAGCTGTACAGTTTTTGGGGGTTCTTGCATTCCAGTTTTTGTGACTGCTGTGTGCTCTTCCCCCTCCCCCCCCCGATTTTAATCGGAGAACAAATTGCTGTCAGCACATCGAGTTCATGTGCCAGCCACATTCAGAACAGGGTGTTCTGTGCTCTTCAAAACAAAATTGCTCTAGGGCAGTAAGAGAACAATAAGTCAGAGCTTCAGCTGAAACGCTGTTGGGCAGTGACCGGGCTCACTGATGTGGCTAGACTCTGGATGGCGCAGCTGAACTTGGGTAATTTGGTTTGGTTCGACTTTGTGGGGTTTGTTGGAGAACCCCCTTCCAGGTTACACAGACAAAATATTGCCACTTTTAAACTTGTTTATTTCTCTTTACCAAAAAAAATCCCTAAGTAGAAGCATCCTGTGTGCACTTCTGAACACTGGAGAGTGTCATAGATACTTGCTTCCTGTAAATCATGTTGGATGAGATTAGCAACAGACTCCTGAGCCCTGGAGGCTGAGCTCCCAGTGAGTCATGGTGGCTTGTATTAAATATTTATGAAATGAGTATCTGTACTATGGAATACAAAGTCACAAGTACCCATGGGTCTTCCAGAGACAGAACAGAGGAAGCAGGGTTCCTAGGAACTGGGTGCCTCTGCCTGTATCCGCTCAGCCAGTCCTTACTGTGACGGTCCAGCAGCTGGCCAGGGCCCTTGTGCTGTGGGCTCTTGTCAGCAGGACTTGTCACACCTGTGTTCAGAAGCCAAATAATCTGGCCTGTGGAGTCTTTCTCCCTGTAGATGGAGGGAATCCCGGGCTGGTGTACCCTGCTCTGATCCTTCATTTTTCCTGGCTTCACGGTTCATCATGTTATGTGTGCATGTATGTACGAGGTGAGGCGTAGCGGGAATGTCACCTAAGAGTTTTAATTTGTACTATTTTGTTTGTGAGTGCACATAGAGGCGAGAGGGAATGACTCTCTTCTACCGTCTGAGGTCCAGGTAACAAGGTTGGGACATCAGGTGGAGCCAGGCAGCCTTGGGCTAGCTGCTGATCTTCCAGACACAGTTGGACAACATAAAATTGCCTGTGACTCCGAGTCTTGGGGATCTGATGCCCTTTTCTGGTCTCTGTGGGCAGCTGTACACACATAGCATGTAGTCAAACACACACATACATAGATTAATAAAGCTTTTTTTTTTCCTTTTTAGATTGTATTTTATGTGTATATGGTTTTGTCTGAATGTATGCATCCGGTGCGCATGAAATCCACCAGAGGGCACTAGATCCCAGGGCCCGGAGGTCCAGGCAGTTAGGAGCTTCCATGCAGGTGCTAGGAACCGAACCTAGGTCCTGGGCAAGAGCAGCAGGTTCTCTTGCCCACTGAGCTATCTCTCCAGCCCCAGTGTTTGCCTTCCTGCGCTGCCTGCTTTGTCACACCCTGACTTTCTGGTCACTTTCTCCCTCCTTCTTCCCATATTCATCTTTCCTGTACACAGCAATGGCTTAGCACCCGGAAAGAAGACATCTGAAATTATTTACAGACTGTGGGCATCTCACCTAAGATTTTTAATTACACTTTTATATGTTATCTGTGTAAGCGTGCACATAGAGGTAAGACATCCCACTCTGCAAATCAGCGGAGGAAACTGATCCTTTGCAGAAGTCTCTGGATTTCCTGTTTTGAAAACACACTCAGATTTGATCAACCAAAAGCCACAACAGATGTAGTGATAATCTCCTCCTCCTCCACGCTAAAGACACTCCACTGTAGGGAGGAAGGTGATGGTCTGACAGTAAACCTCAGAATTCTCTCCCCTCAAGTCTGGTAGGTTAAGAGCACATAGGCTGATAAA